CATTATATCGATAAGTTCCGAAAATATCGATAGAAAAATAAATAACAAAATCGATCATTATATCGATAAGTTCCGAAAGTATCGATAACAAAATCGATAAAAATATCGATAACAAAACCGATGACAAAATCGATTAAAATGTCGATAAAAAAATCGATAAAAATATCGATCATTATATCGATAAGTGAAAATATCGATAGCAAAATAAATAACAAAATCGATCATTATATCGATAAGTTCTGAAATATCGATAACAAAATCTATAAAAATATCGATAACAAAATCGTTAGCAAAATCGGTAACAAAATCGATAAAAATATCGATAACAAAACCAATAAAAATATCGATAACAAAATCGATAAAAATATCGATAATAAGATCGATAACAAAATCGATAATAAAGAGATAACAAAATCGATAACAATATCGATCATTATATCGATAAGTTCCAAAAATATCGATAGCAAAATCAATAACAATATCGATAAAAATTTCGATAACAAAATCGATAAAAAAACCAACAAAATATCGATTATATCGATAAGTCCCGAGAATCCCTAAAATCCCGAAATAGTTCCGAGAATGAGTCTCTGTGCCTTTATCTATATCCTTTTCTCTACAACTGCCTTTATTTTAATCTTTCTTCCTCTATCTTCATCTATACTTTTATCGGTATCCTCATCCGCATCTTTTTCTTTATATTTATCTTTGTTTTTATTTTTATGTTTATCATATTCTTCATATACATATTCCCCTTCACCTTTGCACTTATACATATAAGTAAAGTGTTTAAATTTACCTTGGTCTTCATGTTTGCCTTTATCTTTACTCAACTTTGTTTTTGTGTTTATTTTTACCTTGGCCTTTATCCTTTTCTTTATCTATGTACGTCCTCACCTTTACTTTTATTCTTGGATTGGACCTTTTCTAAATGTTGTTTCACTTCGAAAAGTCTTCGCGTATTATGCATACATGTGTTCATATATGTATGTACATATATAATATGTATGTACATATGTATGTATAGACATACATAGATTACTAAAAATAGAAACAGATCCACATTAACTGCAATCAACATATATACGTATGTATGTATTTACATATGTACACACACGCGATTAGGTTATATGTAAATATTGCTCCATCTGTTTATCAAAAGCCGAAATATATACTCACGTACACATACATACTTTTTGCCTCCTTTCCTCACTTCCAACGCATGCACGTGTTTGCAAAACGATGACGAAGTGTTTTTGTACGGGAAATCATTTATGCCCATATATTTGAATAAAATAAACATATATAGAAGATATCAACCAATACTTCCCATATACCAAACGAAAGGAAAACTCTTGAATTTTTGATTAAAGAAAACAAAAACAAAATCATTCGAGCGGTTTTCGGGCATTTTGGTAATGAAAAAAATTTGCAAATTTTTTCAACAATTTTTTGCCTTAAAATGCTCAATATTTGTTAAATTTATATAAGATTTGTACCCGATAATATTTCTACTGCTCCAAAGAACCTATATCCCGAAAATGAAAGTTATATATGCCAACAATAAGTTGCTAGAGCACTTTAAAGGCTCAAAATTGACCCCAAAATAAGGCAATGTTTACCGTTGTTTTTACGACAGAAACCGAATTGGTTATTTACAAAAATGAATCTGTCGACAGGTTTGGAATTTTATCTTTGAAACGCCACACTTTTCTTTGAAATCGCTTTATTAGTTCTCGTGCAATAAGCACTAAAAGTGAAGCTCTAAAAATTACAACTACAACATTTGAACATAGCCCCCATACCTTAAGGTAAGACGTATTCTACGTCAAAATAACTGTTATGACTAAATTTTAAATAAAACAAGATTACTAATTTACCAAAAAATCCTTATTCTATGAAATATGTCAATACGTGCTGTGTCACACGATCCGGTCGCCGGTTTTGCGGCCCACGATTTGGTGGTGCACAAGGTGTCGTAAGAGTTTATATTGTCGTATGTCATAAAGTTTTTAATGGCTTATAGCGTTTTCTTTTCTATCGAAAAATGTTGCCCTCTGCGCACAAATACTAAGACGAGGGCAATGAAAGGGCAAATTTTGTTGTAGAAAAGCAAACGCCATTAATAAATGTTAAGAGGGCTTGAAACCACAACCAACTATTTTGTAACGGTGTGAAATCTCGTAATACGACTTTTACGGCAACTTGCGTTTCTCTTAAATACAGTTTAAGCCGTTTAAAGTTTACGACATACAACAATACGACAGCATACAACACCTTGTGAAATCCTTAAATGTATTTATTTAATCAAGCACCGGCTGTGGGAAATATCTGCTTTTCGCCATATCAAATTCAATGCTATTTGTTGCCAAACAATTAAAAAAACACTCTGTTAAATAGTACTAAAAAACTGTACATCGATATAAGTATTTACCATGATAAAAATATAGTAAGGTAGAACCGCTGAGAGTCACTTTTAAAATTCTTGACGTTTCCAAACAATTTAATTTTTAAATTTACTCACAAACTCACACACACATTTTCATTTTCAATCTCAAGCAACAACAATTTCGAACAATTTCAATTTTTTATTTTCACTTTTATATGATTTTAAAATGTTGGCAAACTTCAAGAAAAAATCATGGCCGACAAATTGAGAGAACGGTTCTACCTTGCTATGTTTTTATCATGGTATTTACTTCAGAAAAAGTCTTCAGTCTTTTACGTGTCCTGGTAAATCGAGTATATGCCAGATTTTGGATAACAGTATTTTGAAAAATCCATTGATTAAGTAGAAGAAAGTGGTATCAAAATATGTCTAAAAACTTTGTCGTCAGAATATGAAATATTGAAAATCAGCCTTAAAGCCAAATTAGAGGTGCCATAACCATGACGCCTTAGCTATAAAGTAGCAAAATAATTCAGAGTTGCTTATGGTTATGTCGAAAAACCAAAATTAAATAAATAACGACGGTGATGGTTATGGCTCTAGTGTCATAGTAGAGCTGCGCGTACCTTTTATCGGAACATGGCTATGGTACGGCACCACTAATTCAGCCTTTAAACTTACATTTTTGGTAGCTATGCTGTAGGGTAAAAGCAGATAGTCTCAAAAATTTACCTAAGTATTTAAAAAGTAGTTGGGAATCAACTGCTTTGAAATAAACGCAGCGGGCAAACGTTCAGTCCTTCACAGAATTTACAGTGTTTCGGGTTGTAAATCCGACCATAAATACGATTTCATGTCGCTCAGCCGCTTTTGCCTGTTTCAGTAACAAAGATCCAAACATACAAACTCGCTTTGAAGTTCTTTATGCTAAATACATTTTAAAATAGTTAAAATCAAATACAGGAATTCCAACCACTTAGATATAGTTCGTAAAAACGTAATTTTCAACTGCTCTTAAAGTAAGTAAAGTTAATAATAGGATTAAACTTCAGCCTTTTAAGTATGCCACCAAGTCAATTTTCGTTCTAAGTAAAGGCGAAGTAAAAACGTTTTTTATCACTTCACATAAACAAAAACATTTCCAAAGGAAGAGCATATATCAGCAATAATTATTGAACGCAAAAACGATAAAAACTTACAAATTACGCCATTTTGACTTTTTTTTTGATTTTTTGATTTCGACGCGAAGTTCCATTTTGCCAGAGAATATTTCCCACCGTCATAAATAGCAAAAAATCTACTTAGAAAGTTAATTTTTCATCAATACTTTCATTTTAACTCATTTAATTTTGCACAACAATTCATCAGATCTTGCTGTTAGACAGATTTTGTAAAATTTGCAAAGTTCTGATATTAAAAATTTTATTTGCCACAATTGGCAGCTCTCATTTTGGCCTTATCTTGCAAGTTTTTTGTGTTATTGAACGCTTTTCCACCAAAAACTTGCAGATTCCATTAAGAATTAGTAAACATTTTTTGATATTGAACAAACCTAAATTTAAAATTCTTTGTGCAAATACAAACAATAATTTGGAAAAAAGTTTTCATCGTGATAACTTTTCTTTTTTACAAAGTTTTGTGACTGAGATAAAACAGACTTAAAATTCAATAAGGTTTTTTGTTTTAAATATTTTTTCACTTTCTGATTTGATTAGGCGAAGTCAATAATATTCCTTATTAACATTTGCTGGCGAACTACATATGTACTCCGATCCCTCAAGCCCGGTAAAATTCCGAGTTTAATATTTTTGCAGACAATTTTAACTATCCAATTGACCTTTGGGTAAAAAGAGCTTTAATGGGAGGAGTTACAGGGAAGAAAAACCTTAAGAAATCATTATATAGTAGGCCAATGAAGACACACACCCACGTTTATAATTGCACTACACCTAATTTATATAAAGATCTACCTGAGTGCGCTAGTTTAAGGAGAATTTTTATATCTTTGTTGACTCCCAGTAAAATTTATTGCTTAACATATTTGCAGAATATTGTAACCCTCTAATTGCAATTTTAAATGAACTGACATGATACCCATAATAAGGGTTGAAATTAAGGGAGCAAAATTTTACGCAAAAAAATTGCTCGCTGATGACAAATAATGTAGTAAGTAATGTAATTGAATTTATGACGAAAAGGCAGGGCCCGTAACGGTTATGATTCTTGTAATAAAAGTCATAATTTAACCGTAAAAATTGGATTTATACTTTTCTGATAAAATTTCAACGTTTTATGATTTTTATTTTTTCAATTAAATTTGACGGAAAAATAAAAATAAAAAATTCGATATTGCAAAAATCTGTAAATAAAAAAATCTCAGTGTTTAATAGTTGTTTTCGGTCCCTGCCAAAAAGTGCACACTTTAACTCTCTGTAAAAAAAATGTGATCGGGTGGCACAAAATTCTTTTAGGATTTGACGAATACCAAAGTTTACTTAGGCATTATTTCGGCGAAGCCCTAAAAACGGTTCACCTGTGTAATTTTCTATAAACCGGAAACAGAATTAAGATTCTGTTACGTTTTTAACCCAAAAATATTAACTACAATATTTTTTTTGAGAAAAATTCAAAATCCAAAAATTAGAACCATCGAAATTATAAAAACGCAAAATTTTTAAAAATGACTTTTTAGTGATTTTATTAAAACGTAAAATTTGAAAAACAAAAATAGCTGCCAGATTTTTGTATGCGAAGCGTTTGTTTATTTTGCCACAAATTCACTCTGTAAAAAAATTAAGGCTGAAAGAATTATACCAAACAGCTAATTTTTTGCAATTTAATTTAAGTATTTAAATTTTTTTCTTTATAACTCTTGAAATAGTTAATGCATACTTAAGCCTTTTAGAAAAAAATTATTATTTTTTCTTATGAATTCCCAACCAAGTATCCACTAAGTATGCCTTCGCACAAACTCACCTACTGTTGCAATGAAATTACTTAGCGGACTCAATATTTTCACCTCATCCTGCGGCCAATACGACACATGCACAATATCCGTCCACAAATAGTAGGAGCAAAGTGCCAGCGTACAAACGGCCACAATGATATCAAAACCGGCAACAACAATGCCAAATGAACGCAAACTAAAACAGTTGAAACGTTTCATAGTGGATGTGTGGATTTTGGACAACGGCGCTTGCGGTTGTGGTGGTGGAGGTGGTCGTGCTGCTGCTACAGGCTCTTCAAAGTCCGGTGCAAAAGTGTACGAATGAATCTCAAATGCTGATTTGAGACAATCCACTTTTATTTTTTTTTTTGTAATTTTTTCTATTCCATTAAAATTTGCATTTGAAATATTTATTGCACTTGACGCGTTGCTGACGCTTTGACGTTACCAATTATACTAAATTAAAGAATTGCAATTGCATTTGCTACGACATCAAGTCTCATCGGTTAGATATGCTGCATACAGCTAATTTTATTGTTGCATTTGCAGTTTAGGCCGCTTGGTGCATGACAATTGCCGCTTTTTTTTTTGCTTTGTTGAGTGATTTGTGACCGGTGGTGGTGTTAACGACGGCGACGACGGTGGCGGCTGCTGCAGCAGAATCGAGGATGAACGCAGTGAAAGTGCAAAAGTTTAATGATCTGATGACACACTTCGATGCAGGGCCACTTAAGTGGCTGGCGTTGGGTGGGATTATACGCGCATAGAATGTGTAAATGTATGTATGTATGTGGTAGGGAGTTTAGTGGCGCCGCGTTGCAAGAAAAAACGTTCACCAGAAAGGGGTTAAAGTTGGTATTTTGATTTTGTTAAGGATAAATAAACTTCATCAGGTTTGATCGAATTTATTTAAAATCGACAAAAGCTGCCTACTAGCCGGTAATAATCTAAAAATTACGGCTCGGAATTAACAGTTATTTTCTAAATAAAATTTTTGTGTCCATAAGTCAACAATTATTCATAACCGTTATTTTATCAGTCAAAAATGACAATTAAATTTTTTGCGTTTATTTTTTCAGTCTAAATAACAGTCAAAATTTTAATTTTATTTTTTTCGATCAAAAATAATAGTTAAAATTTTACTTTTATTATCCGATCAAGAATAAAAGTCAAGTTTTAAGTTTCATTTTTCCAACCAAAAATAAAAGTAAAAACTTGCGTGTTTTTTCGACTAAAATAAAAGTCAACATTTCATCGCTGTTTCATTTGCTTGTAAACGTTTTATTGATACTTAAATATATATCTTGTTTGTGCAATGATAAGCAAATAAGCGACGCAATAAAGCAATGTGAAGACCTTACTATCTGATATCTTGTACATTGTAACTGTTATATTTGATTCAAATTTTTTGAACGAAAAAAAAATTTACCTCTTAATTTTTGATCGAAAACATATCAATGAAAAAAATAACGATTATCTATCGCATTTTTTAAATAAAGCATAACAGTTACGGCTAAAAAAATTATCCACTAGAAAACTAGTATTTTTGAAGATTTATTTGGAAAAGTAGTTGGAAAAACTCGAGCCACTTTTGACTTAATTACTCACATTTTTTAACTTTCGACTTTCGTTAATGTCAATAAAATACCTATAATGCTTTTTTTATTGTTATTTAATTTTAAATTGTAATTTTCCAATTATTGCAATACTCACCACAATGTTGCCAACCCTTTTTTAGTGCACCACTGGTCACTAGGCAGTGGCCTTAATAACTGTTGAAGGCAAAATTATATGTAGCTAAGAAAAAAAATTGAATTAAATCTTAGAAAATTGCTCTGCAGTTATTTTTCATTCAAAAAAATTTTGTTAATATTTATTTTCAAAATTTTTATCTTAAATATTGTTTGTGTGTATACCAACAAAGTTTGATTTTTATTTTATGAAACAGCTATAAAACGCGAGAAATGCTTTCTACCCTTACTCGCATACATTTCAGCGTACTACTAAGGCTTCAAGCCTAGCACATGACCCGATTTCTGTATATGTACGAAGCGCAAGAAAACAAAAAAAACTGGGTTAAAGATTTAAAATTTTGAAAGTGCTTCAATTGTAACATTGAATTTACATACTTATGTATGTTAGAAAAAAAAATTTTAGGAATGGATAGTATACATATTGACCAATAGAACATTGTACAAAATACTAACTTTATAAATGTGACTGTGTGTCGTCTGGATATACCATTTTAGAAAACCCTTTATGTTCAAACATTTTTAAACCGTAATTCACCAGCAATCGAAACTGAGTCATTAAGTCGAAATTCGGCTACGTCAACCGCTTCATGTTCTAGGGGTACGTTCACACAGGGAGCGATGTCGTTCCAAGCAGAGTGAAGCTTTTAAATTGCTGTAGGTATATGAAAGTGTTCATACAAGTTTTTTCAGAAACGTTTGGAGACGAAAGCAAAGCAGTTTTTGATGTTCAATTTTCGCACAGTATAGAATTTGCTTTTTCAACTTCTGCTGCAATCTGCTGCAAAAAAATAATTAAAACAGTCAAATTAAAACAAATTGTGCAAACATTGACTGTAAGTTTTGTGGTATCTCTGCAGCCAAGTTCAAGAGAAAACCTCCGTTTCACCTCGTTCAGTGTGAACACCTGAAGTTTCGTCTCGTTCCGCCTTTTTTTCGCTCGGCACCGCTCGGATTTCTGTGCGTACACATTCCTTTTCCTTTGGCGCGGATTGTGGATGTGATCCTGGAGACAAGATGTCGCAGTCCAAGCTCAATTAAAAATCCTATGCATACTTCATGTAGCCATTCATCGTCCAGCGGATTTTCTGTAATGCGGTGGTGTCACGACAGATAGAAGTTGTATAGAGGTACCTTCCTTATAGAGGGTCCGGACATTCCAGATACACATCCGGTCATTCATGGTTCATATTTCTGCACGCAGGGACTGCCTACTTGGGGGAAGGTCAATATTGGAAGCGTTTTCTGCCATTTCATTGGGTACTGTTTTTACTTGTCGAGTCCCATGCGCAGAACACAAACCTTGCGCTGGGAGTATTAGAGAAAGAGGCATATTTAAAAATCGAGCCGTTTGCACCAAGTCAAACGTCTGCTTGGAGCCGCACCTGCTGGTCAAAAGACGCTTATGACTTCAGTAAACCCTTAAACCGAGTACGTCGAAATGGCACCACTTAAACTCCCTCTCTTTCGGCCGTGATCAAAGGCTTCACAGGAATGGGCTACTGTGTCTCGCATATGTCTTGCCCACGCTGCCCAGTATGAGCGAACGGTGATTAACTAATTAACTAAAGCCGTGGTTGAACGGTTGGAGGCGCGCACTATCACCCGGTAGGCACAATGTTCTATCTCTGGTTCGAGCAACATCCAAACAAGTTTTTTTCTAATAGCGGTCAACCCTCGGCAGGCAGTGGCACAAACCGTCGACCGCCATGAAAAATGGTCTCAAAAATCTGTCTGCCTTCCGAAGGCTGCATTAAGCTGTAGACCCCCTCAGTGTAGTAACATCAAGCGCACAATTCGAAGAGGGAGCTCGAGCAAGCGCTTAGAAAATGTGTAAAGCGCGAATTGTGTTTTTTTTTTACAAGTTTAGATAAACAATTTTATTATTTTTTATCTAAATTATTAACTTCCCTTTTTCTTGCAGAATTTCGTTGCACTTGTTATGATTTTGGTGCGCTGGTGTATACCAGATATGAGCGTTGAGTTGCGCGATCAGATACGCCGCGAAGTTTATCTGACCAATGAAATTATAATTGGCAAAGAGGCAGAGCGTGCGCGGCTGGGTAAGTATTCACATTCTTAAGAACTAAATAAATTAAAAACTACATATTACTAAAATACAACAAATTACAGGCTTGGATAGACGCAGCTGCTCTGCCTGCGGGCATGACTATCGCGCGGACACAATGTAAATAAGACAGTAGTGACGAATGCTGCAATTGGAATGTTGCAATTAGAATCTCTGTGCTTTAAGAATAACTGGCACAAGTGTTACCACATATAGTGTGATTTGACTACAGTGAAAAGTATGGCTAGGTATTTTTAGAAGCATATTTATTGAGACACAAGTATGTCCATACTGGCATTACTGTAAGCAGTAAGCTGTAAGCTGAACAACTAAAGTCAAACTTTATTTTTATAGCTCACTTTATGCAAATTAAGTTTTTTGCATACACAACGTTGTTTCATAGTTAGTTTTAATTTTAATATTTATATGCGAACAATCTCCTAAACAGCAATGTTAAGCTTTAAATGGACTCAAGGCAACTATTTGCATATTATTCTTATGGAATCTCCTACATTTACACATATACGTATTCAATTAGACTTTTGCAAATGCAAATATTTTGTTTTGTTATAATTTAATTTTAAGTTTAGCTCTCATTAATTTCATTGTGTGCTTTAAATTGCCTCAAATTAGTTTGTAAGCCTAAAGTGACATAATTGCTAAAGCTTTAATTTATTTTGTTAATTGGCGTTTGAGTGTGCTTCGGAAATTAGATACATACATAGGTATCTATACAAACAATAATTTGAACATAAAAATGAAGCAAGATTTTTATTTTTTTACTACCAAAATTTTCAAAGTATTTATGAAATTTGTTATATGAAATTGAACTAATTGAATTGATGATTTTGAGTAATATTTCAAATTAGCTATGTTGCTAGGTTTCTAATTGTACCATATTTTCCCGATAATTAATACTGAAAGCATATCGTTACTTTAATATAGAAAGATTCTATCTAACATGTTTGTATTCTTTTTTTTTGTAGAGTAGCTATAAAGCTTTATAAAAAACCGGGTTCTTCAGTTTCGAGTTGGGGTTGACCTTTCTATATTAAGGTAACGAAATACACTAACTTTATTTTCGGAAAATTTTGCTTTCAATGATTAAATTGCTTACTTAAAGATATACATATGTATGCACAAAATAAGTGTAAAACCTTGAAGTGGCAACAAATTAAAAGACCTTGAACATCCAGAGACCTTTACTGAACTGTCAAAATTTGAATAGGCACATTATATCGAGCCCTAGCCGCCAAAATAACGTAAGCGAATGTTTTTCTTTAAGTTATCTTTTTGATGCAGAAATATTCCTAGATCATCTAGATGGATTTCTGCATCAAATAGAAAATTTTTAAAAACTGTCGCCGACGTTATTTTGGCGGTTAGGGCTCGATTTTCTACATGTATACAATAACCGGGCGTGTCTTTACTGCAAGTGTTACTGGTAATTAAAAATGGTGCACATCATCGCACGAAAATATCCGGGAATAGCAACAAAGCCCAAAGTCTATGCGGAAATGATAGAAAGTCTGTTGCGAGGGAAACTTCTTTTACTCGGGACACAGAACCAGAAATAAAGAAAAAAAATATTTGTTAATGCCATCACAAGATAGATTACAAATATCTCAGAGTATTTGCGTGCAGAAAAAACATTTGCTTTAGAAAAACGCCATCAATTAATCCGCAACGTTAAGAATCATGACCGACTATGTAGAATTTTCTTCGTCTCACATGACATGGAAGACCGACTAGAGAGCGGAGATTTTATTCGGCCAAAAGGTTTTGTTTTAATGACTCCAATGACTCGCTTTGAAAGGCAGACATTTTACTCCAGTTCATGGTACAGAAGCGGCTATAGCGGTTAAAAGCGGGTATTCGTATTTCGGAACAATTAAGATCAAATTTCCAATATCGAATATAGCAGAAAATTCTTACAAAAAAGAAAAACAGTCGGCCTTATCACGAATTCCATACTTTCGAATACATTGGCGCTAGGATATAAAAGTGAATAATAGGTCTTTCTTGATTCAATCTAGTTCTTTTCTGTGCTAAAGTCATTATTCAAGTGAATGGAAAAAATAATCAGATTTTACTTGATGTTTGATAAAAAAGACACATTAAAAAGTTACCTCAGGCATTTTATTATTTTTTATCACTCTTCTTCAAAATCGATCATTCTTCAAAACCCGATCAAAATGATGCCTGCAAGCGAAGAAATATGTTTGGTTTTCAACGAAACATAATGTGCCTATTCAATTTAAGCTTAGTATCCAGCTCTCAACAAAAAATATAAATACATACATACATATGCAGTGGCGGGAAAATAAATAAACGTGACATTTCAAAGAGTATAGCTATCTAAAAACCATGTAAGTTCGAATCAAACTTTTTAATAAGAATTTTTAGGAAAAATTTTGGTATGCCGTTTTGTATCCAATTAAATTTTAGTGTAAGTTTGGAGTAGCTAGGACTTACCGTTGATTTTTGGCAATTTGTTTTGCTGACG